CGACACGACCCTGCGCTATCCTCTGCTTTATATCCCTACTACTCCTTTCATCCTGACTTATCTGACTTCCTAGGTATCTAAAATCAGCCACTTCTTTATATTCGCTCTTTCCCTACTTTTTCTTCCCTAGCATACCAGTATTTTTGTTTTATTTTTATTTATTTTCATACAGTAGTGTTTTGTCAATACCGCTTCTATTTTATTTAAAGCTATCTCTAATTCCTCCTTGCCCGTGCAGCATAAAAAAAAATGTCGATGAATAAATGTATAATTTCTATGTTCGATAAACCTTTTGTTTTTCTTGTATTAAATACTGTCACAATCATAACACTTTTTTGTTCTCTTTTTTTGTCTCATTTTACCCTACACATTCGCTCATTTGTCTCTCACAATAAGTCATCTGCGCAATTTGTGTTACTGAAATCTCAATTTTTTAAACGCATATTAATTATAACAATATTTTTCTCAATTCAAAATAGACACGACATAAATATATCGCCGTTTCAACCACTTTACCATATCACTTATATTACTTTGAAATTATAAGTAGGACAACTTTCGCATCATTTTCAACAAACTACCATCAATTTTAATAAAAGTAGAGCATAAATTCGTATTAAGTACGTTGTTTACATTCATTTTTTCATAAACGTCCGCGAACATTACGTCAACTAAACACAAAAAAGTGACATGCATTCATGTATGTGTGTTTTACTAAGCGTGACATTATATATCACATTATATCTTTTTTATATGCACTGAATTTTAATTTCAAATTGTCTTCCGATCAGAATCATGCATGCTGTGTTGGAAGCAGCCCACGGGAAACACTCTGCTTATATTAGATTGTAAGATTACTTTTGGTATTTTTAGAATAAGTAAAATAATTTGAGATGATAATGAATTAAATTGGAGTATCTATCCAAGCATCGATCGACTACTTTACGTATACTTAGCTGTATATATCAATCCATCATAAACATGCCTTTCTTGAAAAACATTATTCATTTTTGAGATATGTTAATATTATATATAACTACGCGTATTAAACGACGAAAACATCTTATTAATATATTATATTTATACCAAAATTGCGATTAATAACTAAAAAATAGAATAGGTTACTTACAATAAATGCATTGAAATTATGATTTGAATTTAGATTGTAATCAAATGTAATTAAATTTAGCGTCTAAAATGTTGATATTAATAAAAATACTAATTAATAAAACACTATCAAAAACAAATACAAAAATGAACAGAAACACGAGATACAAGCAAATAAAAATATGTAGATACAAAAAAAAAATGAAACACAATTACCAAAAAGACAGAAGAATGAAATAAACAAACTAAAAAAAGCGAGTGTTTATAGGACAGGGTTGTTAGTAAATTTGATATAATATTCTAAAAAGAAAACTAGTGATGTAGTGAGAGTGAGGATGAAGACACTGGTTTATAAAAATACGTAGAATTGAACAGTATAGAATTCAAGAGAAAACAATTAAGGGTAAACCCAGATATTAGTATGAGAATGCATGCAGGTATGAAGTTGGATTTTTAGGTAAAAGTAACAGAGAACAATAAGGTTTAGATTCAAAGGAAAGAAAGGCAAGCACAAGATAAGAAGTTGAAAAGCATTGAAATAATATTTGAAGTAATACAAAAAGAAATTTAAAAGAATATTAAAGAAAACTTAAGAAATAATATTAAATTTACAAAAAATATAAATTTTTCCGCCATATAAATATGAGCTCATCTATTAAAAATTACGAATTGAAGTATTAAAATAATTTTTTCTTAATTTTTCAAACTAATTCTTAAAAGCTCTAAAAACTAAACCAGTTACGTTAGGATCAAACC